AAAATGTTTTAATTTGTTACGCATTTTAACATAGATAAAAAATAACGAGAATTAATAGAAATGTTTTTTTTAAGTTTTGTATGTTTCTATTTTTTATGTCTTTTTGTAATATAAATAAAAAGTATTACTTTTAAGAATTCTTTAAATTAAATTAAAACTTAATTCCACTAACTTAAGTCTAATTTTTAAAAAAAAAATACTAAGATCACTAAATTAAATCCTAAGAGTTTAAATTAATAAAATTAGTCAATTATTAAAAAAAAAGTTTTAAGTTACATCTCTTATTTTGATTTACTAAATTAAAACTTAAACTAATAAGATTTAGATAAAATATTAAAAATTGTTTAATTGAAACTATATGTTATTCTTAAGAAACTAATTAGTCTAGATTAATTAAGTTAAGAAAATGACTAGAATTTAACTAAAGGGCAAGTAAAAGATGGGCTTAAGTTAAAAAAAGAAAATGAGCTGGGTTAAGGGAAATGGGCCGGGTCGTTGGAAGACCCAGACCCAAGAACTGAAACGCAAAGCTGTACGAAAAAAAACCTAAGAAATGTTGTGCCATGGCCGCCGCCGCTGGACCCTAAAGCGCTAGATCGTGATGTAGTCGGAGACATAAATGGTGGAGTCCGTTATTTGGAGTATTGCGGTGTGAGAAGTAGTTAACGTTGTTGCTGGAAACGATCGGAGCAGTGGAATTTTGGATAAGACAGCGATTGGGTCTTGTGAGGTTAACGGTGAAGGCGAGTTGTGAATTTATTTTAGGTAGAGTAAAGGGTGATGTGGATGAAGGGAGCGCATGTTGTGTTTGATGAAGATGGTGATTTAAGCGAGGGATACGGAGCAGGGTGACCAGAAAAGGCGATGCGTTCACAATGGCCGCGAGAGGTAAGATGCTCTATTCTCCATCTCTTCTCTTTGTCTGAATCTGTGAGCCGTTGCTCTTTTTTTGCATGTCTTGAAGTTCTGTTTCTGAGCGTGAATCGTGAGAGTGTGTTGAAATCACAGTCGTTGATGAATGAAGGTTATGAGGCGTGTTTGAAAATGTCTCCGTTGAAATTTGTAATACAGAGAGAGTATTTGCGAGGTAATTTGTGATTTTGTAAGTTTACAATGGAAGGTTGAGGAAGTTTCAGAGGTTTGAGAGGTTTTAATGATGTGAGCAAGGAGTTGGAGTTGAGGTTACGATGATTGCGATAAAACTTTCGATTCCAATTTTTCCCTTCTACCTTCTTCGCGTGTCTGCTTATGCGTTTCCATAGTTGTTCTTGCTTGTTAACTGGGTACTGTATTTCTAATGCAGGAAGCAATGAAGATCTTGAGGAAAACTGTGTGATTTCAACAAGGTGTTTGTTCCGGCTGCACAATATTGGACCTCGCGGATTGGTGATCGTGATAATTGCAGAGAGAAGGTGGAAATTGATAGAGATAAAGTAGATGGAGGCGGATGAAGGTTAAAGGTACTTCGCTTCTTTTCCTCTTCAAATTTCAGATTTTGAATGGTATGTTTTTGTGAAATAAAGGTTTTTGTTTTTGATTTAAAATCTGTAATGATGTTGAAGGTTAAATGGGTGATTACGGAAGGAGATAATGACGATGATTCGGCATAGATATGAGGGAGATAATGATGTTAGAATGGTTTACGTTGGATTCGCAGAAAAAAGTGGTCGTTCACAATGATGCAAACGCGATGATGTTGTCGAAGAAAAGTTTTAACATGGGGGTTATGGAAACAGAGGTTAAAGGTATGCCTTCTTAATCTCTTTTTTATGAAAAGTTCTGTGTCTGAATTGTTTCTAATGTTGCGCGTGTGTTGATTGAAGTAGAGAAACAACCCGATGAAGATGATTGAAGTGTGATGAAAGTGTAGGAAGGAAGATATCTTTGTTAGATCGATGAAATCAAAGGTAAGTCAGTCATGCTTGTTTTGTGGGTTTTGCCATTTTGATTGAATTAACGAGAAATTGATTAAAGAGAAGAAGCAGATTTGTGAACTTGTTTATTATTTCGAGTTGACTTTAAAAGTAACAGTGTTTATATGATTGCGTTGGTCTTGCGACATTATTGAATTTTGAAATTTATCAATCGAGTTATTGTCGGTGTTAAATAGGGATTAATGTATTGCTGCAGGCTCATTGACGATTTGCAATGATATTAAATGGCCATTTTACATGATTTCAGGAAATCGAGAGAGGATTATTATCCAGCGAGACAAAGGCAACACAACGGTATGAAGATTTATGCGAAAAACTGAAGAAACTCACATGGTCGGAGCTAGTCCGACGGTACGATTCCGGCGAAGTCAGGTAAGCTCCGAAGATTCCTCGCTCTTTGCTTTCTGCTACTAATTCTTCTCTTCTTCTTCGTCTAAAAACTGGTTGAAATATTGAATAATTGGTTTTTTTGGTGGTTTTGGATTATACTGTTTTGTCTATGGTTTTGATACAGTATGCAGGTTATGTGATTAGCAATATGGTATGCAAAATGATTTAGCAGTATGCAGGTTTTGTAATGGACTCTGGTATTTTGCTTAGTTTTGCAGTGATATCTTGTGTGGAAATGGAATATGGTTTTTTTGAATAGTTCTGATGTAGGTTTTTGTTTGGAAATGGTTTGCAATGGACTATATTTGCTTAGTTTTGCAGTGATATCTTGTGTGGAAATGGAATATGGTTTTTTGAATGGCTTAGCAGTGATGTCTTGTGTAGAGATATGCTATAGGTTATTTACTGGATAGTTTTGCAGTGATGTGGTGGTAGAGATATGCAAGCTTAGACTTCCTTTTGAAGGGGTTCCCTTCTCATATGACCGTTGCCTCTTTTTTTTTGTCATGGCTCAGGTGTGAGTATCTTAATATATTTTTCTGATGTTCTGCACATATGCTGCTACATATGGTTGACTTTATTCCCATTTCATGCTTAAATCAAAACCTGCAAAACTGAACCTCTTCTCTCGCTACCTTAAGTACAGAAATGATACATAATGTGATATGTACTTTATATTCTGAAATGGCAAACAGGCTGGAATATGATGAAAAAGGGAAACATATGTTGCTTGCATACATTGTTTTAAAATTGCATAATCTTCTTTTGTCTTGCATGGGAGCCTATGTGGCTGCAGGTTAACGTTAGCTTGTTTGTGAACTTGCATATGCTGTTTTGTATGGTTATGCAGTTTTGACCAAAAAAATGAATTTATACATATGAAATATGCAGTGGGCTTTTGACAAAAAATGCAATTGATTTTAAAATGTGATATTTTTTAATTGTGCATGCATAAAAATTCCTCCCTTTTTGTGAACCGGGAGAAATCCCGTGATTTGCAAAAAGGGTAAACTGATTCCGGCCGTTTGCTTTTAATGATGAACATTAAATTTATTTTCTGCATTTTAATTATTTATTCAATTCTGACTTTCTTTTAATTGTTTTCGCAGGTAAAATTAAATGAGCAAACAAGAGCATTGGATGGAAGATTTAGAATTAGAATTAAAAAAAATAGCTTTTTATTTTACTTTAAGCATTTGTGTAATTGCCTTTATAAATATTTTGTAATAACACAAATATTTAAATGACAATTGTAATAAATAGAATAAAGTGAATAAAAATTCTATTATTTCTCAATTAATTCTTTTTCTTTCCAATTATTTATTTATTGTTTATAATTCTTTAAATTATATAATGACTAAAAATCAAATCTAATCATTTAAATTCAGAATGATAAACAAATAAATAAATATCATTGATCAATTAATAACTTCAATCATTTACTTTATTATTATTTTTAATTCTTCTAAATTATAATAACTTGAAAAAATAGAATTTCAGCTATTTAAATTTAGAACAATAAATAATCAAATAAACATTGCTTGATCAATTAATATACTCATTTTCAAATGTTTATTTCATTATTCATAAACCTTCAAATTATATAATAACGGAAAACAGGTTCCCATTATTTAAATTTAGGATAATGAATAATTAATAAACATTATTTGATCAATTAATAAACCTTTTCTCAAATAATCTTTTTATTATTTATAAATCTTTAAATTACGTAATAATCGAAAATAAATTCCAATTATTTGAATTTAAGATAATAAATAATTAATGAACATTGTTTAAGTCTTGATCAGTTAATAAATTTAGCGTTCAACAAATAAACAGCTCCCGACTCGAAAAAGTTATGAATTTGTAAACTGCTTTGAAAATTTGATAAAATATGTGAAAACCCTTGCAATGCGAATAATGCAGATGGAAGACGGTATCTTAGGTCAAAATTTGGGGTACAACACAAACAAAATTCCTTTTAAATCTTTTCATAATTGTGCTTGTATTGTATTATAAAATTGAATAAATAACTAAGATATTTTTGATTTAGTATCTATAAAAAAGATCCAAATTATTCGAGTACAATCATCACTAAAAGAGACAAACCATTTTGTATAAAAAAGATTAGGCCATGTTCAGGCTTCCTAACATTAGAAAGAATAACATTAAATGTTTAAGTACCTTTATTAATACAAGGAGGAAAAGAGACGCAATTATGTTTTTCTAACCGACAAACATCAAGCTTAAAATATTTTGTAAGAATAAAGACGCAAATTTAAACTTAATTTTATAAAATGGAGGATTTCCAAGACGTTTGTACAAAGTCAAATTTGTGAAGCGGGAGAGTAAGACTCAAACTGTAGAGAATACTACAATACCTTTAGATCATCTGGCTCCTAATAGAAGTATTATGATATTTTATTTTATTTTGGAAATTTCAATCATCTCTCATGTGGCAAATTCCTAAAAAACAAAATAGAAGTAAAAAAATGTTACTTTACCATTCGTATCATAGGTAATCTTGTGGATGAAAATTAAATAGTTGAGAAGTGTAGGAACTTGAAGTACAAATATTTGCAATCCCCTAATCAGTTGAAATAATGCCTCACAACCCTAAACATATTTACTAGTATGAAGCCTCAACCATGTTCATGTTGAGGTAGCAAAGACATCTTAACTCACTCTTTCTGCAATAAATAAAGTGAGAAAAATTATTAGTCTCAAATCTCAAAAAATTTAAATAATTCTATTAAAACATACATGAAATTTGAAATTTTTTGAACATACCAATAGATTTTTTGCAATGAAGAATAGCTTCATAGATTGAACTATCAGAATCACAAGACATGCGCCAATTGTCTGCGGAATAAGCAACACTAATTCTTGGAGATGATTCACAGTAATTTCCTCTATTATTCTTCACTGATTGAGTTCTTTTCATACCATTTTCTTGTTTTGATGATCCTGGTTTTTGACCCCTCGATCTTGTACAAAAAGGTTTTAAGAAATTCAAATACTTTTGAAACATTCTCCTTGATAATGTTCTACACCTTTTCAATGAAGGGCTTCTTGAATTTTCTATAGGAACCACTTTTTTGGGTACATGTGATATGGAAGAAGAAGGTAATGTTGAATTCGAATTTGATGAATCATTATCATAGGGTTCAATAATATTCTTCAATGATTCATCAAAAAATGGCATTAAGTAACCATTGGAAAAGAGTTGATCAGCATCAACAAGAGTTGTGAGAGAAGATTGTTGTGAAATTGGAAAGTCAAATTTGAAATCTTGTGAGTTTATAAAAAATCTTTTAGAAGGTGGCATTTTTGGATCCATTTCAATGAAAGAAGAACCTAATTCATCAAAAGCATCAATAGAAATTCTAAAGGGAGAAGTTTCAAGGCTTTGATCTAATGATGGTTTAAGGTTCACTAACCAACTATATGAAAAACTTTCAACTGAAAGTGGATGAGCTGTTTCCATAGTCTTGGAGTGAATCATTGAAGAAAACTTGAAAAGTGTAGTTAAAAGAAAGCTTGGTTTCTTTTCTTATATATAGTGTTTTCATTACCTCAAACTATAGAATTCATGGGCTAGCTAGCTAGGAAGACAAAAAAGAAGTAGAAGCACAAATTGTTATCAAACATAGGCATATTATCATAGCACATCTTGTCTATGTCCCCTTCTAACTCCTGTTTGCATGTGATGAACTTCTAGCGTTTAGCCAATTTTTATGGCTCTCTAATATTGAGCAACTTAATTGTGTTTACATTTCAATAGGAAGTGGTTACCACTTGAGCTTTAAGATCTTTCATAAGTTGGACCCCATAACTTTTGGGACCAATTTATAGTATCATGTTTAGTTTTAGGACAACTTAAATTTGTGAAATTGAAAGGCTTAACCATACTATTATGATAAAATTTAATAATAATATTAATTTTGTCGACGATAATGATATGTAGGACAAAGACCAAATAATTACCAAATTAAAATAGTCTCAAAGAACAAATTAACTTACATTATATGTAAGTAAAGAGGAAGATAAAAAGACGTAAACACAAAAAATAGAAGAAAGATAAAAAGACATAAACACAAAAAAAAATTATTTATTTAATTCGATCACGGAGTTTGAAAGTTTGGAGTGTAAAAGATGCAAAGACTTTGAAAAAAAGAAAGAATAGAGTGAAAAGAATTAAAGAATTATGGTAGAAAAGATTTTGGAGGATTTGTTTATTCATAACGCAAAATTTTGTAATATGATAAATATTTGTTGTTATACTATTTTAAAAATTAAAAATATATTAATGAATAAATATTATTTTAACATTCTATACAAAATTATTCTTTTAAAAAATATTAAAGATTTTTTGATATTCTTTTTAAATATTTTTTTCGAAATCCTCTCTTCTTCTCCCCTCCCCTCCAAACTTACAAATAAAGTCTTAAAAATTGTTACAAAAGATCACAAATGAACTACAAGAAAATAGTCATTCAAGTTTATAAGAACATATTCTATTTCAGTATTTCTCAATCTCTCCGACTCTTATATATAAATGACATAAATTTAAAGTATTTAGAAGTGTTTCTTAATTTTTTTATATATCTTGAAAATATCTCAAATTACATTTCAAAGCTACAAATTTATTTTACCATTTGTGCCTCTAAATTTTGGTGACACGCCAACAAGTCATTTCGAGTATCTAATTCGTTTTAGAACCGCTATGTTTCTTCCTATAGTGTTTTCCACACTAGAAACTATAGAACTCATGACCTAGCAAGCAAGGAAGACAAAAAGAAGTAGAAGGAAGAATTGCTATCAAATATAGGCATTTTATCATAACACATCTTGTCCATGTCCCCTTCTAACTCCTGTTTGCATGTGATGAATTTCTGGCTTTTAGCTATATATTTTAAGTTAACCACTTTCAATGGCCAACATTGAGCCAACTGAATTTTGGGTTAGATTCTCCTATATGGAGTAAATGACTACCACTTGAGCTTGAGCTTTAAGATCCATCACAAGTTGGACCCCACAGCTTTTGGGACCATGTTACTTCATGTTTTGTATTACCACAATTTCAACACCAGTAGGCGTATGCCATCTAAAAGCCTTAACATTTTTTCACCAAACAACTAGGGGCAATGATATTTTAAACAGTTTTCAAGTGTATAACTCAAAGAGGCATTGCAGTGTCTTTTATGGTGACAAAAAGCTTGAGTTAGGTAAAGACATAATGATATATATCTAATGAGGTTGCATGCCTTTTTGGGTGACCTAGAATTGCATTATGATTGTAATGATTGAATATTTTTGGTGCTAGCTATCCTAGCATTAGATGATAACTGGTGTTTTGCTACTACTAACTTCATGGAGAAGCAACAATGGTAGGATTTAAAATAAACTTAAAAAACTTAAAGCTTTGTTTATGAGAATCTATTATTTTAATATTATACTAACATCAAAAAAAGTTTCATTGTCTCCTATATGTGCTAGAAATCGGCATTCCCTTTTTGTTTACTAGTAAATGACTCTATGCATTTAATTATTCATATTGAAAAAGATAATTGCATTTTCAAAGCAGATAATGCACGAGTTAGTATACAAAAAATAAAGAGTGATATATTATTTCATAATTTTATAATTTTCTTTCATTGAGTTCAGCCTCCGGAACAACCTAACACACTCCGAATCATCAATTTGAGAATAAAGTTTCACAAGACATTAAAACTCTAATGAACATTCTCAGGTACACTAGATCTTCACGCTCACTCTTAGAGTTGAAGTCAAAACACACACAATGAGTTTTTGGTGAGAGGTCAAAGATGATGAATTTCAGAAAGAATCTCACACTTGTTAGAAGAGTATTGACGAATTCAACACAGTTTATTTTTCTTCAAGTTTAAATTCAGAGAGAAAGTTGTGCTTAAAAAATGTCAATGAGCATGCAAAACTTTCTATGCAAGCTATAAAACTTTTTTTTTTTAAAAACTAGGTAATGATATGGAGATTGAAAATTTCGGTTTATATGTGTGCTAGAGAAATGCACTAGAATTATGTAAAATCTGACCCTTTGATTCGATTTAAGCGCAAGAATGATGATTCGAGCCAAAGGAGAAAATGACTTGAGTTAAGAACATAAAACTTAGATTATGCACTCTTGATTCGACTCATAATTTGAGTCATGTGATTCGAGTCAGGAAAATCCTTGATACCTATCACATTACCCGAAATGAAATTCAAAATGTGAATCTCAACCATGATTTGAATCTGGCTATTGTGTTCTTCATGATTCGAATGAAGAGATCCCGTGACTCAAATCATACTTTCAGGGGAAATTTTTGATTTACTCAATTTGTTCATGATTTGAGTCACCGATTCATTCATTCGAATCATGATTGCATAATTGAAATTTTGAGAAAATAAAATGTTCATTGTTGAATCTATATTTTGTTTGACTTGAACCATGCGATTGTGAGTTCCTTGACTCAAGTTTTACACATATTGACTTGAGTCATTTTGAATTAACTTTAGGTCCAAAATCTATTTTATGCATGCGAAATTATGATTTAATGAAATTGATCAAATTTATGAGGTGTGTGTAGAGACCTAACAGTGAGGAGACTTAATTACTAAAATGATATCAAAATAAACAAGTAAACATAAGAAAAGGAGCAAAACTTAGGAGCCATTTTAAAGGCACTCTATCTCTCTCTTAAGTTGGCGACATTCGTTACTGTGAATACCTTTAACTTTGATTGTGTTAGCAGTTTCTTTAAAAGTAAATGAAAGCGGAAATAAAGTAAATGGTAAATAGCAGAAAAATAAAGAGAACAAGGGTTCTAGATATTACACCAGAGAATTATCCAAGTATGGCCGAACGTTGGCACAGTCTTGACCCCAAGAGGTCTTATTGAGATTTTGACTATAAAATTTTTAGATTTTTTTAGGTTATACCCATTATTGTACCCTAATTTTTTTACCCAAGATCCCACTTCATATGCGTCATTACATCTCTAACAAAATAAAAAAATAGCTTGTGTTTGCTCTTTGTGTCAAATAGGATTTTAAATCAAGAACTCTTCATCAATGCAAGTCTTGATCAAATTAGGGTTTTGATTGAAGAAAGTGGATTATTGACTTTTGCCTCAGTGCATGACCTAATGACTTAAGGCATGATTCAAAGAACTTATGTATAACATCTTGACCTAATTACATGGCTCAAAACACTCTCAAAGATACAATTAACAGATGGTGAAGGAATTTGAATCAACTGATGAAAAGTCAACTGTCACACAAAAGCCAAACTTGGACTTTTTTGGTCAACTTTGGAATTCAAGGATCAAGGGTCATAAAAAAAATTTAAAACTATCAAACTTGTGCATCAAGATTCAAGAGAATCAAGAAAAGTCAACAAAAGTCAAAGGTTGAAGATTTTGGACACTTAGAAAATTCAATTGTTTTTACACTTAAAAAGCCCTAACATCACAAGCAATTTTCACCAAGGTACAAGCTGATTCAAGGAAAACTTTCAACATGAAAGTGGTAGAGCATGATTCATACTACAACTTTGTCACTGACGGTTAATCTCCAAAAAATGCATAGATTTGAAGATATGAATTATTGAAGTAAGCATCTTAAGATTGTCAAAATCTCAAACACTTAGAGAAACTTTTTCAACATTCTGACATTATTAAGTAGCTGATTTTATAGCCATTTTCTCCAGGATCCCAATTGATTCATGGAAAAGGTTAAACATGAAAGTTTTAGATAATATTTCAAGATTTCCAAAAAGTCTAGGAGCATAAATTTATCATACTTGAGCAAGGAGTTTCAAATATATGAAGATGGGTGATCAAGGTTGCATTACAAGTCATTTTTGTGATAACCAAAATATCAAATATCTAAGCCATTATACATAATATCACTTTGCAGTCCATAGTGCATCTAAACCTATCAAAGATCAAGAGAGTACACAAGCCTTCAAGCCTTTACCTAATATATACAAGCCATTACCCAAATAACTTGTCATTTAAGGTAAAAAGTTACAATTGCTATTCTTGAAAAGCAAGATTTTTGTATAAAGTTTGTATTGAGCTCATACCTCTACTTATTTTCTGATTACACCCCACCATTAATCAAGGAAACAAGGTCTCTTCATCCAAATCCTCTTGTACTATGCCTTGAAACCATGAAAGTTCACATAACTTGATATTTTCATTCCAACCAAACTATAACTTGATAACTTGAGCATTTGTCCATCTCATTACCTCTGAGTTTTCTCTATAAATATTAATCTCATTTTCACTTCATAAGAACCAGTTCACAGCTCCAAAATACGATCTCTCTTAAACACCAAAATTTGCCCTGAAACCCCATTTTTGCAAGTTTTCAAACCATAAACACTAAACTCCCAATTCTTGCAAGTTCTTTTCAAAAAAACCATCCAAACATCTTCCATACATCATATATAAGCTACTATAA